AGTCGTATGCATCTCTTCTTGAATGACCACGACGTGGGAGCCTTCCTTGTAAGGCTAGTGCCAAGGATTTGGTTGTTGGGGTATTTTAACACTGAGATATGTGAGCGTTCTTGATTGGGAGATTGTGTAACGCACTCAGTGTTTGTTTGGGAGGATCGCAGCACTGGCAGTAATCCGAACGGGTTTTTTTGGCCTACACTCCTTCATACTCGTTATGCCATCAACAATGTATATGGCGCTGTATTTGGCATGGACATTTGTTACTTGCGAAAAGGCTCAGGGCAGCTGAGAGCCAAATGTGGGCACGATAAATTTATGGAGGTGTCTTTTTCATCCCTGCTGTTGCGGTCTTGACAAAAGGCCAGTCACAGAGCTCAGTGGCGAGTGTCTATAGCCTGGTTCCAGCGGTTAGATTATGCGACTTCCTTGGATTGTTTCCACGTGTTTCACTTCACTTCCTGAACCCAAACTTCGAGGAATTTTCCTTGAAAAATTAATGCGCTGAGCTGGTCAGTTAAATCAAGCCCTTCGCCGATTGTCTTGCTTGTAATTGGTCACTCATTTCCTCCATGACTGGCCCATAAATTAATAAATAATTCACGTCATACATACAAGTAGTCTATTGGTAGTTTCGAAAAATCAGTACTACTTACGAAGAACTGCAACACGCGGACACATTTAATGGGCGGAGCGTGCGCTACAGTAGGCGTTTCCGGGATATTTCCACAGTTCTCACGTTTTAGTTGTTAAAATTATAAAAAATAGTGCAAGGTGGGCATAGTGCAATGGGAACACCTACCTCATTGGAAAGCTCTCCGTTGTTGATGGATCAGCGTTCAGCACAATTCTCAAGCCTCAATAATTTGAACAATGATAAGTTTTTGGTTAATTGCTGCCCTGTTTGCAAAAGTTCACACAAGAAAACTCGCCCATGTTGTGTTCAAAAAACTGTTTTGCATTCCTGAAAATGCTTTCCAACTGCAATGCAAAGGAATGCTCCGTTGGATCGCATCAACTCCAGGCCTGTGACCTTGCTTCCCCCAGCAAACGCGACAACAACGAATCAATGATCAGTTGGTAGTGCAAACAAAAGGTGGTTTGGTCGAATACCCATAGACTACTCTTACTATAGTGTTTACCTTGACGGGCTGACTCATTAAGGCTGGCGAATGATGAAATGTACTTTACTCTACAGGCAAATTCTGCGAAGATCAAAGTGTGGGTTATGGCGCACGAAAATGATCATGTGTAGATATAACAATTGTCATTTCTTAGGGTAGGAGACAAGAGGTATTTCTCTCTGATGTGCAATAAGAGGAAGAGCCGACCAATGAGCCCAGGGTTGCATATTCCGCCAACGCTGCATAAAGTGTGAAGTCAATGGTGCCTGACCTGCTTGCTTTATACGTGTGTTTCTCCTGAATACCTATCGAGTTATCCCTTAAATATTACACCTCTTCACCGTTCTGCTGGCAACAACGCTCCCATGGAGCGAAATGGCTTTTATTGTATTGTTATATTCAGTGTTTTTTTCGAACCTGAATATTTTCTCGGGAGGAGTGGCAAAATGGGGAAGACAATGGGAAAAGCCTGGTGGCTTCGAGAAGAACTTCATCTCGCATTTTTCCAAGGGACGGTTAACCTTGCTCGATCCCAAATAAGAATCCCTTCCAAGACCGCAAATACGACTTCCGCTCGAGAATTTGGACGGAAGGTTGACCCTTTTTTAATCAAAGCCTTTTATGCTGCGTAGTGACTGATGAAGATTGGCTATGCGTGGAATCTTGATTGATGACCTTTTTTTGATGAGATATCAATCTGTACCAATAGTGAGGCATTAGCAGTGGAGGCTTGCAACACTATCACGTTCGCTCTCTCGTCGGGAAGGTTTCTTTCCAAAGGTAAGCTGGGACTGAACTGATACACATGTGAGCGCCAATGTGCTAACTTTTTCCGGCTGCGCTGTTGTCGCTCCATTTCTGGGGTTTGTTATGCATTTATTGAAAAGAATTGAAATTGAGGCGCTACCGCAAGATACGGACATCATCTAGGGCTAAGTTTAGGAAGGGGTCGGATTATTGGGGAAATTAAAGTTGTTAACGCACCTTGAGCCTCTTCTCCAGCGCCTAACGCTTGGTCGTGTTCTCAACAATAAGCAGACGTTTCAAGCGATTTCAAAAGCATTGTAGTCCACGCCCTTGTTTTGCGAGATAGGGCTAGACGGTCATTGGTTTTGGATAAAAAGAACACGGGGGAGAAGAGCAGATTCCGCGGCCGTGGATAAATCCTCGTTTTATGGATGAGCTCACTGTATTCGGATGGTTCGCTGTATTTCACAATGCTGAGGACAGCATTTATTTGTGAATCTGTCGCTCATTTGGCCCATTATGCTTAATGATAGTTTCCAGTGTAGTCTCATTACAGTAAATCAGCAACCATAGCTTTCAGTCCCTGCAGATCTGCTTGACAGAGCCTGGTCCAAATGCCTCGGAATGACGTGTGATCTATTCGCTCGAATTAGAATTGTATGCGCGTATCCGATCGGATGCTACATTGTGTATTGGTGGTTGTGCACTTAGCGCCATTGTTGGTCTCACAGTCCAGTTCTCATGCCAATTGTTGTTTGTGGAGCTACTACGAACTGTGCGGGTTCGACTTTGTCAGCAGTGATTTCGCTTGACTAGTATAACTTATTGTTGGCTACTGGATGCATGTTGTTATCATGCCAGTTTCTGTGTCAGCACTGTGATCAGCTGTGTAGGTTCGTGTTTTTTGTATCAAGTATTGAATGTCGCGGATTCTAATCGGTTGGCGCTACATTGGCCATTTCTGTGGTCGTTTTTTGATCAGTTTCTATGTGTTCATGTTTCGCTGGCATGCCTCTGTCTTATTTGCTTTCAGCACGACATTGGCGTTTTGATGCTAAAATTTGCAAAATTTGGCTCAGTTGCTCTATGAGGTGCCTGGCCAATCTATGCTGAAGTGTGTCTGTTGGGGGCTTCCTAGTTGCGTGACAATGTGGAAATTTGTCCGAGCTCTTCTCTCTCCTGTTGATCCCGAGGTGCTCCAGCTGTGCCCGTCACTCGAGCCAGCTCGCGCTGCTCGGTACATTTCTGACGTCATTGCCACTGGGTTTTCGTTGTGATCTGGTGTTCATTCCTTCTTTCACACCTATTCTATTCTCGCTTCTCCATCGTGGTCTGGGTGCATTTGTTTCCCCCTTCCTCGGTTCCTGTCGTTCATTCGCCCTCTTAAGGAATTAGATGCATCGCTTTATCCGGGTGTTTTTCATTTTCCTCCTACACCCCTTCATCGTTCATCACTTTGTCCTTCGTTCCACTTGTGTAGCTCCGCCTCTATGGCGCAATGAGTCATCGCTTGTTATATTTACACCCCTTCGCCTGGCTCCCCGAACACAATTGATCCATCGCTTCACTTCAGTCACTCGCTCGATCAGTTCAGTTCAGTTCAATTCGCACAGACAAGATGTCGTTGAAGAAGTTCGTCATGTCCGGTATTCAGGACGTACTGGTGAGCTGTTCATTCCTTTGTTGGGCCTTTGCCGCTTTATAGCTGATCAAATAAGCCGAAATTCCCCGGCACCGCCTCTTCCCGTCGCAGCTTATCAATGACGTGCCATAACATGGAGGAAACCCCATAATCTGTGGCTCATTTTTGATGTCCTTTTTGCCGGCTATTTATCGCCTTTTTATCGCCTGATTTTTGGGCGCCTTCAGAGTGAGAAATTCTCAAAAAGGCCCTTAACGATTTATTTTTTCTGAAAAATAGCTTGTAACTCGCGAATTTCACGTTTGGCGCTGCGTTGCTCGTGATGTTTTTAGACGATGTTAAGTACTCGTTAGGAAGTTAACGGTTGCTATTGAGAGAAGATGAAGGGGTTTTTCCAACCCTATCAAGTCAAGCCTTCTAGGCATCACTTTAGGCCTGCCTAGATCCATTCCCACCACCAAGGGACCGGTTTCCCTTTGCTGAATTTTGAAAAGAAAAGCTCAAAATCAATTAAAACTCATAAATAACTGTCGAGGGTTAACCCCCCCCCCCCCCCCCCCACTATCATCATCTTCTTAGCATAAGGTTCCTTAAAAATAACGCCCAAGTTAGGGGATTTGCGAGCTTTTGCTTTCGTTTCATATCAATCCTCCCCCAGGCTCCGGAGGTGAGCCATGTGCCGGGAAAGAGGAAACGTGGGCCAATACGACTTCCCCATCTCTTCCCCCAGACGCGTTCCCCTCTCCAAGCTTTCACACACTTCCAATAGCTCAATTGTGCCCAAATACACAAATACATCTGAAAAATTGCCAATTTTCAAATCACGACCTTCCTTCCTTTTCTCAATGCCGAATGACTTCCTGTCGAGAAATTCCGGACTGCGACTCACCCTCGGGGCTTCCCACGTATACCACATTATTGCTAAATTTCCCAAATTTTGTCCCGATCGATGCTGTGGCTGTTTGGCGACGGTCTCCTGACTGAAGTGCACGGTCTCGTTGATGGGTGTTTTCCCGATCGACGACGATCGCGATGTTGGGACTTTTTTTTTGGACTAAACGTTAAAACACAGGACAGTTTGTCGAGTGCCGTTACTTATTCGCGGATTTTTCGTCCATTATTCTTTTGGTTAGGTTGGTCCTCAGAGAAAAATATAAGAAATTTTGAAATCGTGAATTCTGAGGAATCAATCGTTGAGGAAAAATTGTGCATAGCACTCAACGCGGCGTATTCCTAGCGCAATGACAAGTGGCTTGCCCCTGTGGTAATGGGAGTGGCTTGAATGGAATTGAGGGCACTTCTTTACAAAATATGTAGTAGCCATTTCTTTATTAACATATTTACCGAGAGAAGAAAACAAGTACAAAAAACTGAAATAAAGCAATAAACAAAGACATGTCATAGTTTGAATACCCACCCAAGGAAAAATCGGAAAGTAACTTTGAACTTTCTATTTTCGTAGTTCAGCAACTGCAAGCTTAGTGAGACCTGTTTTTCCTTGTGATTTGTGTAAAGCAGGTTATTTAGGGGATAATTCTGAATCAACCTAGTATTGGTGACACAAAATTGGGTCACGGCTTAATTTTGGGTCAATTTCAACGTCTGGCTGTTCCGAACGCAGTTCGATGGAAAACTTTGGAAGCAACATTGTCGATAATGGACTTTTGGCTTGTATCTCTAAAAGTGAAAATGCCTGTGTTTGCTGATCCTTAGCAAAAACGAAAGCAAAGAAACCTCAAAAAATTGTCGACAACCTACTACATATTTTAACAGTTGACTCCACAGTAAGACGGTAGTGCAAAATTTGATGGATATGGCGACAAAACTATGGGCTCACACAAGCTTCTCCGTTTTCATTGCACGATCCGAATCTCACTGGCTATTTCCACGAGGTCTGGACATCAATAACTGTGAAAAATTGGCGGTATTTGTCACACATCGGCCGTCAAAGAGTGTAGAGTTCACGTGTAGTGGGTGGAGTTCCTACTGCGAGCTAGAACTTTAGCGCCATAGTTTCTAAGCTCTGAACAGCAAAGATGGCCCGGTGTTCGTGATTACGAAGCGGGTTTTCCCACGAGAATCCGAGTTTTATCCGATGTGGGTAATTCATGGATAGTGTGTCATTAGGACCAGGGTTCCGTGATGAGCGTGAGATCTCCTTTCTCTACCTTTCGCCATTTTTTTACTGTTCACTATTCCCCAATGATTCTCCTCCCTAACAATTTTGATTTACTGATACCCAACTTTCGAGGCTTTCAACATAATTCTTTTGAGTATTGGTTTTCGATTCATTTTGATTATTCGAATTCGAAGTTCGGCCTTCAAGTGGACGTCTTGCATTCGAATGAGCTGGGGCATTCCGTTGTGATTTTCTCCCGAGAAAACTGCCTTGATCAGATCCTTTTTTAACTAGAACTACGATGTTCTTTAATTCAATTTGAACGGTCTTATTTAGGTTCATTTCCATCGCTTTCTTTTGATTTCTGAAGTTTCTTTCATTTTCAGGAGAACAAACTACTTCAAGGAAATCGTGGTCAACAGCAACCACAACAGCCACCCCAAGATCACGGATCTACCATGAATCAGGGCTACGGTAATCAAAGTGGCGGCTATCCTCCACCAAGCGGTCCAGGAAACGCTGGCTATAACGCCTACGATCAACAAGGAGGTTATCAGCAACCGGGAGGCTATCCCAATAATCCACCACCAGGCGGATACCCCCCACAACAAGGTGGTTATCCTCCACCAGGAGGATACCCACCTCAATCAGGAGGTTATCCACCTCAATCGGGTGGATATCCTCCACAGGCAGGATATCCTCAAGGAGGACCTCCAGGAATGCCACAGCCTAGCGGATATACCCCTAATCGAGGTCCATCACCGCCTATTGGATTCAATACCGGTTATCCTGATCCATCAGCTCAACCGTATCCTCCACAAGGTGCCATGGGATATCCTTCTCAACCGGGAGGTTACCCACCACAATCGGGAGGTTATCCTCCACAACAGGGCTATCAGCCGCCAGGACAATACGGGTCCGGCTATGCAGCCCCGGCTCCTTATCCATCAACCTGGACAGTACAAACCAGGTGAGAGAATTTCCATTTCAGTTCTATAAATGTGCGAATATTTTCTTATTATTATTTTTTTTAAATTTGTCCCTCAAAAGAACTAGATTTGTGTACCCACTGCTAAGCATCTTCACTCAAGATGGGTAGTAATGCTACTCAAATCCATTGTAATGCATGTATGTGGCATGTGACGCTTTCAAACACTTTCACATCCGAGAGGAGAATGGAGGCGTGGCGCATCCTACCCAAGTTGATCAGCAGTGAAGGTTAATTCAGCACCTTGCGGCCATCTTGACGCACTTCCTCATTCATAGCCACCCAGAAGGTGCTCGGGACTGGCCAGGGACTTTTTGGAGGGGTAATCTGAATCGTCCATTGTTTGAATCCTTTTGTTAGCAAAATTTTCCTGAAGGTGTAACTTTAAAATATATCTCCCAATTGTGGCGACGTATTACGATTTCCGATTTCCGTTTTCCATTTTTGGTGTGGTTCACTTCCCCATTTTACAAATCTGTACTTATGTGTCTATTAGAAAATCGGGATCTACCCCCTAAACATCCCCTAAACATCGAGGGCTGTTCCGATTTCCGAGTTTCGCTGCTTTCTCCACTATGCCTGCTCTACTGCAACCTCTAACCATGTTCAGCGTCTGACAGCAAATAATAGCATCTTATAAGAGGGTGAAACTCCAGTTCGGGGGGGCCACTCCATTGCTATCTTATCCGTAGTACTAGAGAGCAGTTCTTTGGGCTATCGAACACTACGGATAAGATAATAAGTGAACGACTCATTTCGAGCGTACTTTTGATAAGGACCGGTGGATGTCCTACATTCCACACTACCTGCCCACATCCCATCCACTTTTCTGCACAGGTGATCCACCCTGGAGCTCCTGCACCCTTAGCCCTTTGCGGAGGTGTCCTTTCTCCTGGTCCAGGACTGTTTCCCTGGACCAGACAGGCGAAAATATGAAATCATCTCAGGGTTTCTTCCACATTACACCGATACTTATCAGAAGTCTACTTTAAATGAGTCGATTACGTGTCGTGAGCCCTCTAATCCTTATCTTGAGTAATTGGAGAAAAAATGGAGTGGCCCCCCCGAACTGGAGTTTCACCCAGCCCCTGCTGGCAGAGCTTCTCAAAGCCTACCCCGCTAATTGCCCTGATTTACTTCACATTATGCCTTTCTACACCGAAATGAAAATGATTTCTCGAATAACTTGAACTTACACTCTCTCAGAAATTGCTCGAATTCGACGAATGAATTGAATTTCTCTCTGAAGAGCATCAGCGGCACCTCCGCTCTTGCTCGGCGCAGCCGGCCCCATCGAATAGGCCGGCCACCTCATCTCTACTCATCCGCTTCGTGTGGCGTCATTCCGAGAGGCTCCACAGCTTACCAGCTTATCATCATCTTTTTCTTGAGCTCATCCTGGGAAAACAATCTTCTGAGAGCCTGATTCAGTTCTTAACACAAAAAGCGTGCTACTGCCGGAACATTGAGAGTTGGAAAAGACAAGCAGCTTTCAGTTCGTGGGAAAGTGTCCAGCAGGTCTTTGGTAAAAACACTAGTTTTGCAGAAACCGATCAAGGGTGACTCGCTTCTATAAGCCGCTAACGAAAGGGTTGCTCAGAGTTGGGCGTCTGGGATATCTTTACACGGCCTGACCTGGAAAAATTAGCTTACAAACTTTTGTTTTGGGTGTAGAGCAAGGGGTGGCAGACCAAAAACTTTTTAGCGCTAATTGTAAGTTGATTGGCTTTTGAAAGCCCATTCGTACTCAAGCCAGAGCTCAGTTGGGAATGAAGGGATAGTGATCGGGTACTGGTCCTTTTATGCTGCACAACTGGCGGTTGAGCACCGAATTTGCATGCACGACCGACATCATTCAAAATGAAAAAAAACAAGTGGAATACCATATCTGCGCCATAAAATTTTTTGATCGAACCTGCGCATTTTGATGGTGATGTTATCTCTCTTCGGTAACCTTGATAACATGATTGCTGAGCAAGCAACTGAGGCAAATATTAATGAGTTCATTTAGTTCTCAGGTTCTTTGGCCTGGGATCCGAACCAGGGACCATGATCGTTGTAACGGCGCCTCTTGCAACGCTTAATTTTGCCCCGAATTTCTTTCTTCGGCGCTTAAACTGTAAGGGAAAAAATAGTAGGATGAGGCGTTTAGAAGAGAATGGTTATTTGATTGACAGCATCCCCAAATCCTGCTTCTCCCAGCTGTCTGCTCGCAAGTCTCAGACTTTAATCATTTATGTAGTCAGTCACTCGCCTCTGCCGCGATTGATTTCGCCCTTAGATGCGCAGCTAGCTTAACCCCGGCACCCTCGCACGCCGGCCAGTGAAAGCCCGTGCACCGTTGGTATTGGTATTTTTGCTCAAGGAATAATTTTACACGCTCACCAAAGCCTCGACCAACGAAAAATACCTTGAACGGGTACATCACTGGATAACTGATGAAAAACGCCAGCGATTTTCCATAACCTTGTTCTCTCTTTGATGATTCCGATGGATCGATAACGCCGAGGTGAACGAGAGGGAAAGGCCCGAAAATGTTTTTCAAGAGGCGCCGTAAACAATCAGCATGTTTCTGCCCTTTGGCGACCGAACACCATCTCTAAAAACCTCCAACACCGGCAATTTTTTCGAAACGGCAGTGCGAAAGGGGTCGTTTTACAGTTCCTTAGTTGAATATAAACCATCGTAATTATATGTTTATAACTAAATGTATTAGGTTGTATTAAATATTTAAATTTGTAAATGTACTAGTTATTCGTATTTCACTAGAGAGGCTCTAGGGTAAATTCTTCACGGTCTTTCACCCCTTGTAAACGCTTTTGAATGCAACTCAAGTTCTTGCAATAGTTTTGCATCGTACTTTTGATACTTTCCGAATGCTAAAATAACAATAATAACAAAAAATACAACCAAATATGAATAAAAGCAGCAAAATTATCATTAATGATAGATAAATGTAAAATAAGTGATAGTAATAAAATTTTCCTGCTGGGTAAACTTGGCAACCGAAACTATGTATGACAGCAGAGGTGAAAAGAAGTCGATGCGAAGCAATCGGTACTCGATTAGCTTAGCTAAGCGTGGGTCAAGCCCTTCTAAAGGCTTCAAAGGGACTGTACTTTTAGCTTGAGCTAAATAGAAATTGGTCCCTTCTTTGGAACATTTCAGGTTTCCGAAACTGGAAATTCCCCCACATTTGTGGCCCCGGAGGCAATATTTACCTGGTACCATCCAAAAAGAGCAATTTCGGAGCTGGAAGGAATGGGTGAAGGTCTTGAGGCCACTTATTCGGGCAATCTTCGTCCCTGCTAACGTTCCCTAAACAACAATATCACGTCTGGCCATGGCCGTCGGTGCCCTTCATTTCCGGCTTTTACGTCGTCTGGTCGCATGCGTTTATATTCCTCCTCTCAATACGATTATGTCGATGTTAAGCGCTGCACTTCCACTAATCGGCCAGATTTGGCCAGAATGTGTGGAGCTGTGCCAGCCTGGGTCATGGAACTGTTTGAGAGTGATCAGTCGTGAAAGTGGTCGGTAAACCTCGCCTGGATCGTAACACTTCTGATACATCTGTCAGTACTACTTTAGTCACAGTTTTTTCTATTCTTCAGTTCTTCACAGGTTCAGCCAAACCCTGAAGAAAAAACCAGCCCGAAGGCTATTTGGGACTTTTCCCGGTCACACGACTGAGCTTTGTGCAGACCCTGGGAGGTTGAAGCTCTTTCAGATAATCTAGGGACTGATGGCCTTCTTACTGGCGGAAATATGCTTGAAGTTTGTACTAGAGAGTCTTTGAAGTGGAAATAATTATGTACGCCCCCTCCTAGTAGGAAATATTGGTAAAACGGGTAAAATAGAGGGAAAATGAGGGAAAAGTGAAGGAAAATAGAGGAAATCCCCCGTCCCTCTCCCCGCTCGACGGTGTTTTTCGAGGGAAAAAGTTGTGAAGAAGGGGTCGTATGAAATCTGTCGTGAAGGAGGGGGGTCGTAAAAATTTTGCAAAAAGTCCCAACGATAGGACCGACCCTGCTTCCAGGCCGGAGAAAACAGGTCTCCGCCCTCAAACGAGCCCCCTTTTGAGGAATGCGCTATTGCAAGGTGCAGGGCATGTTGGCGGCATGACATCTTGAACCGCGTTGAACATTATTCTTTGTATACATGGGACTAAGCCCTAGCAGGGTAGAAGTCCGACGTGCGTAAGCAATTCTCATGTTCCCCGAAGTACTGCCCCTCTTGGGTTTAGTGCTGAAGGATGCCCCCTACCTTTTGTTGATAGCGTGATCATTCCGTTCAATAGCCAAAAGTGAACGAGCTGTTGCCGCGGGTTTTCTAAGGGTTTTGGTAGCCTGAAAGCCATTCCAAAATCCTCCTGAGCATATTCTAAAATCATGTCGTACCGGCCATTAGTCATCCCTCTATCTAGTCACCTCATCCAATTTCCAGTTCGCAATTTCTTCACGCATGACGACGTTTTCAAGTGGAAAATGGAGCCACTTTTGACGTCACAACGGACGATGAGTCACTCAACGAACCTTCCCCGTTGAGCTGTGGCGCAGCGCTGATGGGCGGGTGTTTCCGTTGAGTCATCCCCATGAGGACACGCACACGGTGTTGTGCTGCTCCAGAGTGGGCCCATTCATTCTTGTCTTTCGCAATAGCTGTTCACCGATGTCTTAGTAGGCTTCCCACTGTCGTCATAGGCTATACTATTTATACCGCGCCAGCGTTGCCGCATGTTAGCTTCTACTCTGCCTGGAGGGGTTGCCTTCTGCACAAGTTCTCACTCCTACATCTTCTGGAGGACCCGGAACTAATCTAGTCAACTCAAGGGCCAACAGCCACGGGGTAACAGCCAAGGGCCAGCTTTACATCCTCTTAGTTCTTTGGAATACCTGTGAAGTTCAGGCCAAAGTGCAGGTATTGATATAGGTATAGGTATTGCTTAGTGTAGGACGTCGGTGTAGGTATTAGGTATAGTGGTAT